TTCAATGACAAGTTATTGTTCAATATAAATTGAAGAAACTTATTTTTTAATGTTATATTGTAGTTGATAAATGTGAAGGCACCATGCCCGAAGCTAAAGGAAGCTTTAAAACAAGCGTATATAGATGAAGATAAAAAGTCCGGCAAGAAAATGGCTGAGTATTATAAGGAATTGATGAAGCATACTGGACAGAATATGAGCACGATCACCGACGTCGAGTTCCTTTACAACACTCTCGAAATCGAGGAGAAACACGGTTTAGAACTTCCGGAATGGACGCGGAAATTTTACAACAACGAGATGCGCGAAATAGCCGCTCGCAGCTTGGCGATTTTCACCGAAGGCACTATTCAGAAACGTCTTCGTGGAGGTATTCCTGCACAGCGAAAAATACCGCTGTGAGTGCACTTTATAAATTGCATCTTGCATATCATTAAACTGTTTTTCGATATTTTCAGGTCCGCTGCTGAAAGAGATTTTATATAACATGGAACAGAATAAAAATGGTTCGAAACGGTCTTACTTTTATTCTGCTCACGACATAACTCTCGTCAATGTGCTAAGAACGATGGGATTTACGAATGAGCTTCTTAAACCCGATTATGGGGCGACGTTGATATTGGAGCTATATCTCACCAATAATGGAGCCGATTATGAAGTTAAGGTATATTTATAGTTATCGTAAAAGTTTACGACGTTATTACGAATTATTTTTATTAAAAATTGTTTCGAATATCGGAGACTTAAAACCGCTTCAAATCCCATCTAAGAATTTTTATTACACGTCATTATTCCAAATCGCATAACAAATTTAAATTACGGATATGTGTGTAATTATCGGAAATTACATTTTATTAACGCAATTAATCAACCGTAGCGATTTAGAGATTATGCATAATGACTGAGATTTGCCTGGAATTCCTAAACCCTATTTTCATATTAATGTTGCACGTGTATATTATTCAACATTCTCTGTAATATTCATAATTGTTATTCTAATAACTTATAAATTAATGAATAATAATTATATAACTCTTTTCTTTCTCTTTCTCTGTTATCACAGACGTTGTACTTGAACAATACGGAAACAGAAAATGCTCATATTTTGGAAATTCCTAATTGTGGGAATCCTTGTCTACTCCACAATCTGAAGACAACATGGCAAGATGTGATTCCGGATAATTGGGACGAGGAATGTAAAATGAATAATCTTAGCTTAACTGCTGTATTCGATTAATATCCACTTGTATGTTTATAGTTTTATGTCAGATTATTACTATATATATTATGCATATAAAGTGAACAAAAGGCATAATGTTAATTCTGCTTAATGTAACTTGTATGTAATCCTAAGATTAATATTTAAGTCAGTTTTGATGTAAGAACGATTATTGTAAGTCGTGTTAAGTCTTGGCAACAAATTGTAAATGCACTTTTATGCACTTATATTTGAATATTATTCTGATAATGATATGCATATAACAGACTAGGTAGCAAGCTGACGATATTTGTTATCATTTTGACGACATAAATCATATCGAAGTTATAGATCTGTTTTTTATCGCTGTAGGAAATTGCACTAAAATTTTTTACTTGCTTTCATCAAGCTTTA